GCGATTTCGACAAGTATACCCCGCGAAATTCAGAACTTTCATGACTCTCTCAGTCAACCAAGTGCCCCGTCCACTTACGATATAAACTAATTTAAAATATAATTTTTTTTTTTTATATCAATACTAGTTACACAACTGTGTGGTATTCGAATGTGCATTATTCTAATGTAATGTTTGTCCCGGATGTATTAGCACTTACATTGAATAGTTACTACAATAACATGTACAAATTGTTAGTCATTAATCATAATTATTTTTTTATCAAGCTTTTTCTATTTTGACCAACGCAAGTCTACTACATTCTTAAATGCGTTCTTGATAACAATGATGCATGTATTGCGCTCAATAATAGAGAAGTCATATTTGCTTCCATCTACAAAACCCTGATGTAGTGTATACTCAAAACTTAGAATTCTACCGTCACGTCAGCGTGCACTGATTACATTTCAATGTCGGTGATTACGTGGTAATCCTTTGCCGAAAGGTAAGTACAAATACCTCCAAATCGCAAATGAATCTGTCAACTCGATAAGAAAATGTTGTATGGATCAGTTGTATAAGCTTCCTGGGATTGCAAGCGTCAAAAGCGAATCACTCGAGGCAATCGGGCACGTCTTAGAAGTCGGGGTGGTGCAAGACGTGTTCACGGCAGCCAAAGTAAAGCGCATTTTGAAGCACTGTGACTGCAGCGTGTTCCAATTTCGTGTGAACAAAGTGTTCTACACGCATTGTGTATGATGCATAGGCCCCGTATCGAACAGGACACGCCGCGACGACAGATGCGTTTTAACGACAGGAAGAATAGATAATAACATGGGCGACAGATAACGCTGTATAAAAAGTCACCACATGAAAGAGACAGTTATCTGTACGTAACGTGTATTAGGGATAAGGTACTACGTTTCACATGAGATGCTGAAATGTTCGAGTCACGGACATCGAGTTACAAACATCGAGTTACAAAATGACCACGCCCACTTTTGCTAAAGCACTCACAAGTTATAACTCAATGTCCAATTAACAATTAACAGAACTTCCCGCGTATATTTTTATTTTGGTGAACGTTCAAATTTAGTAACTCGAATTTTAATCGTTAGAACAAAACAAAAACTCAATGTTTCATCATATTTATATGAAAATCATTATGCTGAAGCGACTTGGTCAAAAATGCGAATCATTGCCGTATATCGGTGGAATTTTAAAACGCCGGTGGATAAATGTTCGTATTATAATAATTGGTGGGTTTTATTTCTTTTCCCGGAAATTAATTTGAATAGATGTAGACAACGCAAACTGTAATTATGCATAAAAGGTAAAATAACGAGCGGGCAAACGCACATAAATGGTAGAATTTTGCGGTATTGCACTGGAGATTTTCATCCTATTAGGAAATGCGAATTCTAAATTTGGAGCGACTACGCGCGTGGACGTCCTCTAATAATAAAAAACAAACATGGCTGCCCCCAGGGTTTGACCAGACTCTACACAATGAAGTTCGCCAAATCTGTTCTAAAGTATTTGGTTTTTGGCATTCTCATGACGTATCCTTGAGAGGAAAAGATGTATAATAATGTTATTACGAGGAAACCGTAAAGTATGCACTCAGGTAGCACGCCGTCGCAACGACCTCCGCTGCACGTCGGTCGATACTCCCGTTGTATTATATATATATATATATATATTGTACTGTCTTCGTGCATACTTGTCGGTATCCTCGTAATAACCTCATAGTATATACTGAATGTACGCGTCACATATTTTAAAGCACGTGGCATCCACTATAATAATTATTACGGATATATATATACCGTGAA